GTGCTTAGTAGTGAGTGGGGGGACTCAGTGGTGACTTCACCTGGTTCTCAGGCTCCAGCAGGCTCAGGGTCACTGCGCTCACTGGGTTCATACCCTGAACCTCTAGCCTCGCAGGCAGCAGAACTTGGTTTATCTCCAGGACCAGGACCTGCGGGCGATAAGGGGGTGTGGGAGCATAGGTCAGAAAGGGCCTGCTCCTCTCTCAGGCCCCCCACCCCTACAGGCCTCACCAAGCACTGGTCCTCTTGGGGACTGGCTGTTTTGAGCAGCTGGCAGGACTGGAGTAAGAAGTGGAGCCAGAAGTGGGCACGGCGTGGGGGTCCTCCGAGGGGCTCTGGTGTGGGTCTGAAGTGCTGGTACAGCAGGAAGGTTTCCATCATGGACACCAGGTACCTGCAGGCACAACATTGTCTTCAACTCAGCCCAGGCACCAGGTAGCACTGCCAGGGAGAGTAGACTGAATGTGGGCATTAGGTGTCATGGGTACTGGTCTGGAAGGAGCCAGGTCATTGGCTAAGGGCTCAGGCCAGTGGACATAAGTGCAGGAACCCACAGCACAAGTCAGGCCAAGACTGAAGAGGGGGCCACTTACCATATGGGGGCATTGAGCTTGTATAGCTGCTCTGCAGCCAGTGCCACCTGGGTGGGGTCATTAGCAAGGATCTGAGCTCCCAGGTAGAAGCCTACATCCCAGTAATACTGCATCTTCTCCACACAGCCTTTTCGGGCCAGCAGGCAGCCCAGCTTCATACCTGGGAGTGAGGGCATGGGCCCTAGTGAATGTGGTTGCAGTTGTGGCAGAACCCAGGTATGGACCAAAACATTCACGTTAGGCAGGAATACAGATGTGGGTGAAAATGTAGGTGTGGCATGACCTCAGATAGGAGTAGGAGCTCAGACACAGGAGAGGGGTTGGGAACAAATGTATGTAGAAGGAACACAGATGTGAGCTTAGGAACAAAAAGTCATGGGCTTAAGGGCTCATGAGGGCCCAGGACAGGTATGAGGACCCAGGTGTGAGTTCAGGCAGAATAGTCCAAAAGGGGATGAACTCAGTCCCAGATCCAGCCCAGTGTTCTCTCTCCCTGACCTGAGCCCCTGCAGGGGGGACAGGGGTACAGGGCTGGGGCTCACCGATGAGCTGGAGCTCGTCGGAGTCCTCAAAGCGCTGCCCAGCAGCAATGAGGAGCACAGCAGCATTGATGCCTGAGTGAAGGCTGGGCTCCACATCAAAAGCCTTCCGATACCTGGGGGTTGGGCAGAGGGATGCAAGGCTGGACTGATGCCCACAGCCCCACCTCTCAGCCCAATGTCCACTTGCTTGTGCTCCTTACCAGTGATAGGCCTGCTCTCGGTGCCCGGCATCTTGGAAGCCAGAGCTGAAGAACATGTCCTTGTAGACACGGCCACACATGCAGTACAGGTCAGGTGCCACAGAGCTCTCACACTGTACCAGTGGCAGCAGCACAGCTAATGCCTTCTCCCGGTCCCCAGGCCTGTTCCTCCTACGGGAAGGGGAAGATGGGTTGGGGATCTGCCTGATGGCCCTGTCCTACTATGGGGACATCCAGATGCTGAGCAGGGACCCTTCCAGGGGCCTGACAGTAATGAATACAGAACTGCAGTGACCTTGGTCAGCACTGACCTTTCTAGATGTAGTGATTCCAGATGGAAGTGATTTCTAGCTGCAGTGACTCTGAAGAGAGGTGACCTTGGATAGCTGTGACCCCTCCAAGGGCATCACCTCACCTCACCCGCAGTAATGAAACAACAGGACCATCTGACATCAGTGTGATCCTAGTCAGCAAACTCCCTGAACAGCACTGTTCCCAGACAGCAATGACTTCATAGAGCAGGGACCCATGTTCCCTCGTGGCTGACCTGAGCGCTGCTCTGCCACTCACCGGTTGAGGGCAAAGGTGTAGTGGAAGCAGACGTTGTGCTGCTCAGCCACATCACAGGTGGGCAAGGCCTGCAGTGTCTCCACCAGCTCAATGATGGCTGAGTAGTCCTGCATGAGGGAACAGCATGCTCTGGCACAATGACCTCTGGTGGGTCCCATCAGCCCCCAGACCTTGAGGAAAACCTTGAGCTGGGGGTCTCCTCCCACCCCTGACACTCCACCTTCCCACCCACCATCCTCTACACACCTCCCTCAGGCCTGGCAGGTAGTACAGACACCACACCTTACACAGAGAACCCACTGTGTGCCCCAAGCTGACAACTGCCCTGGGAGACAGTGACATGATGATCTCCATTACAAACTGAGGCTCAGAGATGTCAGATCATTTGAGCGGCACAGCCAGGAGCTGAACTTGAGTTTATCTGACACTGGATGCTATGCCCCAGCTGCCTCTCTGAGCACACCTGCACATCTCGGTAGGAAAGTAGCAGGTTCATGATGATGTCAGGGCTCAGCAGCTCCACACTGTCCAGTCTTCGCTGCAGGCGAGCCAGCTCCTGCCGTAGCTGCTGCCCGCTGAACCGCTCCCGGGCCTGCCTGATGTCCTGCCGAAAGGTCTCCCGGAAATAGCCACTGAAGCCGGCAGCAGGAAAGAGAGGGAGGAAAAGGAAATGGTGGGGCCTTTCCCTCAGCCCAGGCCACTGCACCCTCTCCAGCCTCCTCTTGGTGCACCTTCTCTGGGTCCCCCTTACCAAGAGTCTGTGGGCGTGGCCTCCAGCAGGCGGGCAAGCCGGCCCACCAGGGGTGTGAGCAGGGCCTCAGTGCCCAACCCAGGCTGGACTAGCCCATCAGCCAGGCCCTTCAAGAGGCCTACATCACCACACAGCACTCGACCAGTGGCTGTCACCACATAGGGGATCAATGTGTAGCTGCCAACACAATCCTGGTGGGAGGGAGTCAGGAATCGGTAGAGGTCAGAGGTCAGCACCAGGTTAGAGAGAGGCTGTGAGGGGGTCAGAGGTCATCACCAGAGGGAACTGGAAAGCAGGGAAGGGGCACACTGCAGGAAGTAAGGCAATAGGAAGCAGAAGGTCACACAGATGTTGAGGGGTATTAGGGAGATCAAGAGGTGATGGAGGTCAGAAAAGGTAGTGGGGGGGTTAGAGGTCATAATGGAAGTCAAAGGGCACGTTGTTATGAGGGGTGGATTCTGCTCACCGAGTTCTTCTGAAAAATGTCCTCCTGTAGGGAACAGATAGATACTGATGTTCTAGGTAGGCCCTACCCTCGCCCTGTGCCTGCCTCTACCAGCTATCTGGACACCTACCCGCAGGGCCTGCAGGTCAGGAATGTCGGCTTGGGAGCACAGAAGAATGTTGTTGGTCATGCTGAAGCTCTCACGTACACCAAGGTGGTAAAACAGGGAAGGCTGTGCTAGGGAGCTGCTCACCTCCAGCACCACTACATCTGCAAGCACACAGGTTATGGCCCTGAGCCCTGAAATCCAGCTGGGTGGGGAAGGAGGCTGGGGATCCATTCTGGCTCAGCATGCTTTCCTGGATCCAATTTTGCTCCTGGATTCAGTTTCCCCCACAGAACTAGTATCTGAGGTGTTGCAGGAGAGGAGTTGGGCCCAATGGGCTAGGACCCTCATCCCACTGTTCAGAGCCTGTGCACAGAGGATAGGAGGCTGTGCACCAGCCTAGAGCCTGTTCTAGACCATCTGAAAGGCAAGAGTTGGGCAAACACATAAGTCCCCTTCCCTGGACCCTCAGCGCTGTGCCTGTGTGTGTGTGTGGGGGGGGGGGGGCTAACTGTGACTGGATCTCTGTGTGACAGGGTCTGTAAAGACCTGTGTATTGACATATATATAACTTGTAAGTCTGTCTATGACTGTGTGTATCTTCGTGTCCTCGAGGTCGAGTCAGCCTTCATGTTTTAGCCTGTGATTTTCTGGACATCTGGCAAGCGCAGGCGCCAGGAGTCTGGGATAAACAAGTAAGTATCCGGAGGCGGGGCGTTAGGGTTGGCGGAAGGGAGAGGTGGCCTGCACCGAGAAAGCTGTCTTCTGGCCCCACCCAAAAGCGACTCTGCCCCGCCTCCAGCTCCGCCCACTGTCCCGGGGTTACAGGGTCCTCTTAACCTCCCTTGCCCAGAATCCAGTATGTTGGGTCCCATCGCTACCCTTTTTGCCTCTCTAACCCGATTCTTGAAAGTAGTATGCTAGGACCCCTGAACTCCAGCCCCTCTTGTAGATCCCCTTTCCTAGTCCAAGCTCCACCTCCCAGGATCCGCCCTCGAAAGCTCTTCGCGAAATCATCCCGAGGCGGAGGTCTCCAACCCAACTCCTAAGACACTGCACACTGCCCGGCTCCCAGCCCTGGGCCAATCCTAGCCCCGCTCCCTAGACACGGTGCTTACTCCAGAGCGCTTAAATCCCAATCCTGAACCCCGGGGCCGGGCCTGGGTCCGCTAAGTCCTAGCCCGAGCACGGCCCCGCTCCAGACTACCTAAATTCCACATTTGCCAGGGCCCTGCCTCTCATCCCTCGGCTTTAGCTCACTTTATATCCCACTAGACGGCGTACGCATCTCGGTCCCTCCCGGGAGCCGCCGAGCCACTCCCCTGTGGGCCCGGCTCCAGGCGCCGCGCTCCGCCCAGGCTCCTGCTCCGCCCAGGCTCCTGCCCCGCCCCCAGCGCGAGCTCACCCGCGTTGTAGAAGGAATCCAGCGCTGCTGTGTCTCCCAGCGCCAACGTCCCAAAGGGCAGGGTGCGCAGCTGCGTCCGCGGCCGAGGGACCGCGAGCTGCGCGCAAGCCTCGCGCAGGCAGCGGAGGGGCAGCGGCTCCGCTTCGGCTCCCCGCTCTGGCTCCACGCCGGGCTGCGGTTCCCGGGTCAGCACGTAGACCACGCTGAGCGGCCGGCTTCGAGAGCAGCCCCGGCCCGGGGGCGCCGCGATTGACCCGCCCCGGCTCAGCGCCTCGGCCAGAGGGTCCTGCCAGCAGCTCCCGGCGCACTTCAGGGCCCCGGGCCGCGAGCACGGCCCCGCCATGCGGGGGCGCTCGGGCGTCAGGCCCGTTCTGAGCACCCGGGGCGGGGCAGGAGCAAGAGGTGACGGATCCAGGGATCTCAAGATCGGGAATCTCCTAAGGGATCTGGAGATCCGAAGTCCCGCCGGAGGTCCTGTTCCTCGGAATCTGGAGTCCAGGGCGAAATCCAGGCTCCGACTTGGAAGGTCCTGAGGATCTGAAATCGGGAATTGGGTCCCGGGAATCTGGGGCATCCGGTGATCCGCGACTCAGAGTCACGTGGGTGATCCTGGGAATTAGTCTGATCCTGTCCGACACGCAGACTCCGCAGGAGAGCGTCCGCCGTCCCTCTCTCCTGCCCTCACACGTAGGCTGGGCCCCGACCGGGAAAGCTCCACCCTCGGCCCTGGGGCAACACCGCTCCCTAGCCGCCTGGGACTCAGCCTCTCCCCTCCCTCCTCTCCAACTAGAACTTCTGAGTCCGGCCACTTCCGGAACAGCATGTGCCACGGTGTAGCCAACCACATCATAATATGTGTGCCCAGGCCAGGGTTAGGGAAGAGGTGTGAATTGCAGGCCCTGCCATGCAGGGATCTATTTGAATGAATGGATCTCCAGAAACATCAGGGTGTACACAACATGGTGAAGAGTGGGTGTTCTCCCAGGAGGGACTGCAATGGGGGAAGTCTGCCCCTCCACCTGCTGGGAGGCCATCAGCCCTAGTATGGGACTTGGCACCTGAGCCCCCATCTTTGCCCTCTTGCCAGGAGGCCACTTTCCCCAGAAACCAATCTGCTGATTTTTTACCTCCAGTCATTGGTGACCATGGGACCTGAGAAGAGTCCCCACACAAACATTTCTCTACCCACCTGAAGAAGAACCCCAGAACGCCAACCCTTGGGCTACAACAGCTTTCCACCTCCAAATTTCCAAGAATCCTTACCCCTTTAGTGTGAATTAGTGAGACAGCAACCTGGTGTAAACTTCAGTGGACTCTGAAATCAGGAACCGCGGACTTAGGTTGTATATCTTGCCAAGGATCAGTCAGCCACATGACAGAGCAGGATGCAATCCCAAGATGCCCTATCAGACAGCAGATATCAGACTATTGCTTTGCTGCTTTCTAGAATGTGTCTCTGGCAAATTAACTGCTTGATAAATGCTAGCTCAATAACTGCTATTTCAGTACTTGTGGCCCCATGAAAGAAAATACCTTACTTGGCCCTGGCCGGTTTGGCTCAGTTAGAGCGTCAACCTGCGGTCCTGAGAGACCCAGGTTCGGTTCCCGCTAAGGGCGCGTACCTCGGTTGCAGTTTGTCCCTGGCCCTGGTCGGTCGTGCGGGTGGCAGCCACTCGATGTGTTCCTTTCACATCGATGTTTCTCTCTCTCTCTCTCTGTTCCTCTCTCTCCCTCCCACTCTACCTGAACAAAAAAATGGGAAAATGTCCTCAGGTGAGGATTTAAAAAAAAAGAAAATACCTTACTTGGTTTGACCCTGAGTTTAAACCAGCTGCTGGTGGAACCCGTGAGAAGCCAAGGATGAGAACTTGACTTCCAACAGAGGCTGGGGTAGAAAACAGACAATCTAGAAAGGATAGGCATGGGCAACAGAGACAGTGAGAAAACTGCAATTTCCACCGCAAAACCACCCACTTGCGGGACACAGAGGGCCTAAGGGCACAGTCAGTGAGTGAACACTTGAATTCCAAGTCCTTCCCTAAATGTTCCCCCGGCCTTGGCTTGCATACCTCCAGAAATTACTACCTTAGGAGGCTGACCCTTCCATCTTCCTGACTGAAAGAAAAGTCTTCCTTGAATGGAGCTCAAACCTACGTCTCTACTCTGTCCTCTTGAGTGTTTCTTGGTAACTGGGCAAGTCCTGCAAGTCAGAAAAGGGTTAAAATGATTTTATTTTTAAATGTGGACAAGAGCAGAGGCAGTTAGCACTGGTTAGGAGTAGCCGAGCATCCGGAAGCTGTACAGGAGAGATAAGGGTGCTGGTTGCCAGGATGCCCTCACGAAGCATTATGCGAACCCTGTGGTAAGGGTGGCCCATGCCAAGGCCTGAGGCCCAGTCAATGCAATAAGTGTGGGCAGTAGTGTGGGACATCACATAACGTCCATTGAGATGAGATTGATAGCAGGCTTCATACCACCAGGCACCATGGACAGTCACTGTGCAGTTGTCCCCAATTGCGTCATGGTCAGCGTCGTAGGTGGTAAAGGACTCCCCATTGTGATAGCTTACAGAGTCCCCTGGCAGGGAGGGGATGGGAGGCACGTTGGTGTCAGCACCATGCTTGGCACCCTTGAAGAGATGACCTCATAGGAGTCTCAGAGCAACTGAGAGGTGGCGTTATCAGGCCCCCTGAGAAAACAGCAGTACCAAGGAGCCAGAGTGTTTCCCCAGGTCACTCAACTAGTCCCAGGGGCACTGGGACTTGAACTCAGGACTGTGGCTCCAAAGCCACCAGCTCCTCCCTCTGCCTTGTCCCCTCATAGAGTCCCGAGCTTCCCTCTAGCTCCTTTGTCTCTTCCTGGCTCCCATCAGCAGCCCGAGCAACTTTGTCAGGGAGAGCTGGGAGGGACTTCTCAGATGCCTGGGCAGGAAAGGGGGCTCCCCTGAGGCAACACCTCATAATCACTTCCCTCTTTCAAGCCTCTCCTCAACAGTTGCTGTTTCTCTGAAAAAAGCCTTCCCTAGTTCCTCTTCCAAAGCAGATAAAGCTAACACTCAACAGAGCCTCAGATAGTCCACGGCCTCCCTCCCTGCCTCCTTGTCTATTTTACAGTACAGGAAGCAGGCTCTGATACGGAAGGGACTTGCCCAGGGTCACATAGTAGATGACAGAGCTGGATTCAAACTTAGGTCTGTTTGCCTCCAGAGCCCAAATTCTTTACTCCTGTACCACCTTGCCTCTTGATTGCCATTTCTCAGATGAGGACACTGAGGCTCACAGAGGAGAAGGAATTATCCTGAGTCATTATGGAGGCAGTGGCAGTGCTGGGCAAGTATCCAGCCTCCCTCACCTTTTCCCCCTACTCCAGGGCCCCACCTAAGGGTTGCTCACCTGCAGTGCCCTCTAAAAACTTGCCCAGCAGCAGCTGCTAGTGATCTGCCTCCACAAGGAGGCGGAAGGACTCCTAATGGGCAAAGGTGCTGTTGCCATGAAAGTCTTCCAGCTCCACTCGTAGCTCCCAGGTACCTGGGGAAGGGGGGGGGGGTGCCAGAGAAATGCCCCCAGGCTCCCTGGACCCTGCTGGGAACTTGCCCTGGAGAGTCAGCTGGTGCAGATTCTCATTCCCCAGCCAGAATTCAGACTCCTGACTCCCAAAACCTGCTTTGTAGGAGGACCAAGAACGGAAGAAATCCAGTCATCCTGTCGCCTCTGGAACACCTAGGGGGCCAGAGAAGGCTAGCACACCAGCCATTACTCCAGGCTTGGGATGGGGTGAGGAGAGGCAGGGGCAGTGCAGCTGAGAGTGGGCACACTGAGGCGCTGGCAGACTCCCTGCCTCTGGATTGGGGGCTTGTCGCCCAGTGAATCTTGCCTGTGAATATATTGATGAACTCTACATTCTCTTATTAGCTTTTAGTGTCATCAAGTAGTTAGTGACACTCAACTTCACATCAAAGCCTTGCAAGCCCTGGGGGAGACTGAAATGATAGAAACATAGTTCCTACCTTCTGGAAAGGGTCAGTCCTGCTGAGAGTCAGATTCAAAATAACTTGATTTTTTTTTAATCCTCACCTGAGGGGAGATATATATTGCAATTGCAATTTTTGTTACAGATGTTTCTCCTTTTTCCCCCATTGACACCCTCCTCCGGATCCCACCCCCAGCATTGTTGTCTAGGTCCGTTGGCTACACATACATGCATACAAGTTCTGTGGTTTATGTCTTCCCTCCCCGCCCCCCGTCCTCCTCTTCTGAGGTTTGTCAGTCTGTACCCTACTTCTATGTCTCTGGGTCTATTTTGTTCATCAGCTTTTTCCTTTTAATCTTCACCTGAGGATATTTTTACATTTATCTTCAGAGAGAGTGGGAGGGAGGGAGAGAGAGAGAGAGAGAAACATCGACATGAGAGAGACACATCGACTGGTTGCCTCCTGCACAACCCTGACCAGGGCGGGGAACAAACCGCAACTGAGGTATGTGCTGTTGACTGGAATTGAACCAGCAACTCATTAGTCCATGGGCCGATGCTCTAACCGCTGAGCCAAACCAACCAGGGCAAAATAACTTGCTTTAATTTACTATGATAAAAACCAAGATATTAGAGCAAAGAGATCACCTCCAGAGGCCAAGCTGGACTCCTGGCCTTACCCTGAAACTTCCCCTTCAAGCCAAGCAGTCCCCAGGCTCTGTAGAGTTTCCCTCCTAAATACCTTTCAGTCTAAGTGCCTCTATTTCCATCATTGCCCCTGCCCACTGTCTTCTCCTGCTGAGCCTCTGAAGTCCCCCAGACCTGTGTCCCTGCCTCCCCTCTTGCCCCTACTGCAATGCAGCTTCCATGTTGCCATCTTTCTAAAGACTAAGTCTGACCTGGTAATTCTCTGCTTAAAACTCTCCCGTGGCTCCCCATTTACCTCCATGATCCTCCGTTAGTGATCCATGCCCTCCATGAACTGACCTTTGCAGAGGCCTTCAATCCATGCTTTTGACCCATACCAGTGGGCCTCAGCCAAACTCTCATACCTGCTCTCAGCTCACTCACATGGTTCCCCGACCCTCTTGCGCTGTCCGGCCTCCCTGCATTTGTCTTTCCCTCCACCTGGAAAGCCCTCTGTGCCTCATTTGTTTTGATAATTTCTACCCAGCTTTCAAGACCCTGTCAAATGTCACCTTGTCTGTGAAGCCTTCTCATGCTTCAGATCCCCTGCTAGCTCAGTAAACTTTTCTCAGTGAATTCCTCTAAGAAACGCCTTGGCTCCAGGGGGCTCTGACTCCCCCTAGGGGCCAAGGGGCAGAAGTGCCCACTGGGCCTGGCCTGTGTCTCTTCTCTGACACCAGCCAACCACCTCTTGGGGTGTCCATGTCGCAAAAAACTGGAAGGGCTCTGCCTTCAGGTAGACACAGATGGTACCAAGCGCTCAAGGTGGCACCCCGGCTCAGCATCTCCTGGCAGCTCCTGGGGCCTGGGGAAGGGGAGAAGAACTGAGTTATGCCCCAATCCCCACCCCATGGGTAATGGAAGGGGCTACGGGTGGACCTCAGGAGCCCTCTCTGCTCCTTCAGGCCCCCGAAAGGGGCTCTAGTGCTAGGCCACGCCTGGTGGGCCACCAACACCCTAGCACCGCCTGGTTCCAAGTTCTTGGCTCCGGTGAAGGCTGCCTCACCCTCCTGACACCGAAGCAGGTTTGCTGGATCTCCTGTCCCATGGAAAGACCAAGTGTTGGCTCTAAGGTCTGAGTACCCCCGAGGGAATGCCTGCAAATCACCAGAAGGGAGGGTGCCCAGGCCCTTCTCCTAATCCTGCCCACTCCCCTTCCACCCCCTGCAGGAGGGCAGTCACAGCCAGTGGCTGGGCTGCAGCCCAACAGAGCACTCTCCCTCTCTAGCTGAGGGATAGAGCAAAGAAAGAAGAGGCCCAGGTCCCACACACTCACCTGGCTCACCCGTGGGGCCCATATTGCCCAGTGGTCCAGGTTGCCCTGAAATTCCAGAGACAGAGATGTTGTAAGTCCCACCCCTGTAAGGTCAAAAACAACATGGATTTGGAGCCAGAAGTCAAATCCCAGCTGCATCCTTCACTGGCTGTAATTGTAGATAAATGACTTATCCTTTCGGAGCCTCACTTTCCCCTTCAGTAAAATGGTGGGAAACTCTTCACCTACTTCATAGAGCTGATCTTTGGATGCTGGGTGCCCAGCCTGGAGCCTGGTGCACAGTAGGTTCCGGGCCTGCTTGTCATGGCCTCTCAGCACAGACAGTTATTGCTGCACCACCAGCCTCCCTGGTTTACCCCAGGTCCCTGTCTGCTGCCTGGTATCTCTCACCTCAAGGACCTGGAGCTCCATTCTCCCCAGGACTTCCTGGGGGTCCAGGACAGCTGGGCAGGAGGACAACTTTGCTGCCTTCTAGTTCCCTGGGTTCTGCAGGGAGATGTGGGGCCAGGTGGGCACAGAGTGGTCATAGAGGGGTGGGCATGTCTCCCAGACCCTCTGCAGTTCCATCTCCGAGTCGAGCTGTCAGGATGCTTACCTTGAAGAGGTTTCAAAGCTTTACCCTGTTTGCAGAGCTCAGACTATTGAACTCCCACCCTGCTCCTTGAGGCTCGTGAGCCTGGGTTGACACCCAGGGAGGGAATGAGAGTGGGTTGGTGGGGAGGACACCCTAGGACCCTACCTGGACAGCTGGGGCGGTCCTCTGTCCCCAGGCTGGCAGGCTCCCTGAGCAAGAGAAGCAAAAGGGAGAGTGGGGTCCACAGGAGGCCCATCTTGCTGGTGCCCTTGAGAGAGGATGTCAGTTTATAAGGGGGCCAGGCTGGTGGAAGAACATAAAGAAAGACTTTTGTCCACTGTCCCTCCCCAGGGACACTCCACCCAGGTTGGAACCAGAAGTAAGTAGGTGGGGGCATTTCCTCCCTCAGCCTCAAAGAGAATGGGCATTATCCCTGCTCTGTTCAAGTGGGATGGAGTCCAACCTCTGATCCTGGCCACCAGGGCTGCCCAGCCATCTCTCTAGACCTTTGCATTCACTGGGGTTTTCTGAGCCTTCCATCTGGAATGCCCCTCTCTTCATCTCTACCTGTCCATGAAGCTCTGCCTGTCCATGAAGTTCCGGCCTTAATGTCATCTCCACTAGGGATTCTTCCTGTCAGCAGTGTTAGTAACTGCTGCTACCATTTGTTGGACCTACTGCACGCCACAAGTCCCACTGTGTGCAGTTTGTACGCCGCCTCCGATCCTTACACAGCCCTGCTCATAGTCATTATTGTTGGCCCTGGGATACAAGCCTGGTACAAGGCAGGTATTCAATGAATGTTGGTTAAATGAAGGAATAAGCAAGGAGAAACTGAGGCCCAGGACAGGACATGACTTATGCTCTCTGTGGCACTTATATGCCCAGAGCCACAGAGATTTTGCCCAAGCCCCATGCCCCACACCAGAGAGAGGCACCCTTAGCAATGTGACTTCCCTCAAGTCCCTTGGGGAGCTCCTGGCTGGGCCTAGGAAAAAGCTGCTAATATAGGCCCATTTCATGGGTGGCCCAGGCAGTAAGGAGGCAGCAGCCCTGATGCAGATGCGAGGAGTGAGCTGGAGAGGGACTCAGGTGATAGGGAGGAGAGAGAAATCTCATTTGTTTGTTCATTTGTTCATTCATTCATTAAACCCTCCCTGAGGGCCTCCTCTAGGCCAGGACAAGCTTGCGGGGATGGGGAGGGCTGAGGTGCAATGAGGCATCAGGAAAGGCGGAGGCCAAGTTTGCCAGACAGGATAGATCCATGAGATGGATGCTCTGAGGCCCTGCAGGTCCAGTTCTGGAAATCCGTGCTCCCGCTCTGGCCGGTTTGGTTCAGCGGTTAGAGCGTCAGCCTGCGGTCCAGAGAGACCCGCGTTCGGTTCCCGCTAAGGGCATGTACCTTGGTTGCAGTTTGTCCCCGGCCCTGGTTGGGTCGTGCAGGTGGCAATCACTCTATGTGTCCCTTTCACATCAATGTCTCTCTTTCCCTCCCACTCTACCTGAACAAAAAATGGAAAAATGTCCCTGGGTGAGGATTAAAAAAAAAAAGAAAGAAAGAAATCTGTGCTCCGTAAGCTGTCCCACAGGTGTGCCAAGATCTGCAGGCAGGTCTGTTTATCATGATGCTGTTTATAATAATCACTGTGGAAAGGACCCAACTGGACTTTGATAGGATGCAGGCAAATGCGTTACCACCATGTGGACAAGTCATAGGGCAAATGTGATGGATAATGAAAGGGGCAAAGTTGCAGAACAATATGTATAGCGCAGTCCCACTTTGTATTTAAATAAAGCTAAATGTAAATTCACAGGAAAAGATCTGAAACATACTGTGAAGCATAGTTACTTCTGGGGCATGAGACCAGTGGGATGGTGATTCTCACTCTATATAAACTTTTGTATAGTCCTTTTGTTCCTTACAGGCGTTTACTATTTTTAAAAAAATATACATCCAATGAAGAAATTTTCTTAACTGAGTGGAAAGCCAGCAGGAGGTGGGGGCATTTCCTCCGTCAGCCCCAGAAAGAATGGGCATCATCCCCGCAGCTCTTAAGGGCTGGTTGGAGAAGCGCCCGGGGCGGGGTGATCCAGGCAGGAGAAACTGAATGAGCAAAGGCTTGGAGCAGACAGAGAATAAGACAGGCTGTGTAACAAGAGGTAGATCCAAGTAGCTGGCAGGATGGCTCAAGGGGAGGCTGCCTGAGAGGACTGAGGGCATTGATGGACGTGCGAGGGGGGAGGAAGTGGACTGTTGGCATTGTTGATGATGGCGTGATGTGCAGGCAGTAGAGCCCTCTGTGAGGCCAAGGAGCAGCCGGGACTACCTGTGGGCTTGCGGCAGCAGCTGGAGACCCTGCAGGAAGGCCAGGCCTGGAGAAGAGGCACAGAGGCTCGGCTGCAGGCTGCACAGCTGGAAGGGAGGATGGGTGCCCTGGCATGAAGCAGATGGAGCACGTGTGCCTGCTCCGCACCCCACTGAGATGGATACTGCTGCTACCCCACTTTACAAATGAGGAAACTGAGGCCCAGAGCTATTAAATAACTGCTCCAGTTCCCACAGAGCAGTTAGGTTCCACAGGCTGAACTCTCAGCCATTTCTCTATTGCCTCTCAGCTTGACTGTCCTAGGACAGGACATTATATGTCAGACTCTCAACTACGTGCCTGGTATCCAGCATGCCCCCCCTCAGTGGGAGGCGGGAGATGTTATTAGTCAGGAAGACTTCTGGGCCCAGGGGTAGGGGTAAAGGGTGGGGGAGGGCATGGGGGCAACTTCCCAGAAGGGCCTGAGTGAGGAAATGGCTGTCGAGAGTTCCAGGGTGTCTCCACCTGGGCACTGGGGCAGAGACGTAACTTAAGGAGCTGAGAGCCTGGAAGATGCTTCTGCAGGACAGTTCTGAAGTTCTGCTCACTCTGGAGCTAGAAAAATCTAGATTCAAACCCCAGCCCTGCCCCGAACCACTGTGTGATCTTGAGCAAGTACATTTATCTTTCTTTTTTTTGTGGGTGGGTGGGGGGTTCAAATTAAGAGAGCTTTATTAGCCACGTGGAGACTGTCCCATCCTACACAGAGGAGAGAGCAGCCACATTTATCTTTCTGAGTCTCTGTACTCTCATCTGTAAAGGGGCATGGGAGGCGGCTGAACATGTATAACAGAGAAAAATATTTTAAAAGATGACAACAGTCCGAGACTGAATTCCACTAAGGAGGCGGTAGTGGCCATTCCCCTGTCCCATCCAGTCCACACAATGGAGGACAGAAGACACAAAGCACAGAGCTGGAAAGAGTTCCTTTATTTGGGGGCAGTGCCCAGGCCAGGTCAGTGGGAAGAGGCAGGCACAGACCCAGTGCCACGCAGGGGCGGGGGATGTCTGGAGGGGGCCCACAGGGATGACAGATGAGATAGGAGGTGTTGAAGGATGCATTCAGCTGCAGGTACCAGGCCCAGGTATTGACACTGAGACTGTTTGGTGCCTTCAGAGGCCAGGAATTGGTGGCCAAAGTTTTTCCCATCCCCAGTGCCCACAAGGGAGCCAAGAGGGCAGCTTCTTCATCCTTCTCCTCAGCGTGGAATCCAGGCCTGCAAGGGGTCAGATTCTGCAGAAGCCAGACAGAGAGGACACTCAGGGCGGTGGCCCTGCCTCAGCAGGGCTGAGGACCCCCAACCCCAGAGAGCAGGCAACAGATGGAAGAGCAAACACTTTAATGGAGGCTGCAGTGACCCGCCCCACAGCACACACGGCACACAGGGTGTGGGGGGCCTTCGAGCAGCTCCCCTTCTCAGAGGAAAACCAAACCGCACACACAGCCAAGGTCCTGCCAAGGCCACAAAGCTGCAGGCCAAAGTCTCGCCTGGGTTATCACCTACTGGTTCTCCTCCCTGCTGGCAGCATGAGGGGACAAAGACAAGTGGGCTCAGCTGGCTCTCAGACAACAGGCTGAGGCTGAGTCAATACCTAGCAGAGAGAACCTCACAACTGGAAGAGGGACAGGGGTGTGGCTCACATGGGGGACACAGGGAGGGAGTCATTGCCCTTAGGGCTGCCCCACTGAGAAGACAGCACACTGTCATTTAAGGGGACCTGAGGGGCAGGAGTGGGGTGGGGGAAGTGAGCCAGACTGCGGGCTGGTCAGTACTCACAGTGTCTGGTAAGTGCTGTCCTTGGCCTTGAGGAAGCGCAAGACGAAGAAGGCCACCGCCTGTAGGCTCAGCACCAGAACCATGCCTCCAATGAAGCTGGCCCCATCAAAGCCAGGGTTGTGGGCTTCGGGAACAGGAGGACTCCCTGCAGGGTGGAGGTCATAGCAGGCCACCAAGGACCAGGATCCCAGGCCTCCCCCAGTAACCCACACAGGTCACCTGGAGGCCCCAGTCCTTACTATGGGAGCCTGGAGCAGCAGGCTCAATTCAGCTGGATCCTGTGGGCAGTTGGGAGGTGCCTGGTAGGAGGGACAGTGCCCAGCTGGTAGGGCAGCCCTGGCTCTGTTCCTGAATTGCTTTGTGGCTTGATGCTTCTCACACCCTCTCTGATCACATGGACCAGATGGCAACTGAGTCCCTTACAGACACCCTCTACCACGCTGGCCCAATAGGATGAGGATGGACCTAGAACTCAGGCATCGACCCCTTTCAACCTTGGGTCTTAGGGTTCAAAGCCCAGATACAGATGATATGATCCCCTTTCAGAACTTCTGAGACCCTGGAGCTGCCCCATGTCAGAGCCCTTACTTAGAAAGGGAAGAAGTGGAGGTCCACACCCTTGTTGACCAAAGTGGATAAATGGAGACTAGATGATGTATGTCAGAGGAAGAAGCCAGCTCTGTGGCCAGACCTGTCTAGAGTCACCTCACAGTTAGGACAGAGCCAAACCTACACAATGTACCCTAACACTTTCCCCATCCCCACCGTAGGGACCATGGTTGTCAGACTGTGCCTGGGTGGCTCCCAGCTGCGCCACGTTAGCCATCAACTCTCAACAGGGATTTGATTTCAGGCCCTGGGCCCAGTGCCCAGGGCAGGGCAGGGCAGGGCTGGCAGTGTAAGATCATTCTGGGGCAGTGGACAGGAACCCAGCTGGGAGGTGGATCCATCTCCCAGAAGGTGTTGGTTGTGTAAGGAGGTCTGAGAATACGAAGAGCAAAGGGTGGTCCCTGCTGCAGCTCAGTGAGCCCTTTCTGGGGGAAGAGGAGCAGAAGAGGGAAGAAATGAGCTGCACAAGACTGATCTGGGGCTTGAGCTGGAGGGAGCTGAACCATCAATAATTCAGCCTCCAAGATCACGTTTCTGGCTTTAATTAACCAAGAGCCTCTTCAGCCATCCCTGCCAAGC